ATGTAAGAAACATCAATCATAGAGTAGCAATCACAAAGCTAAGATTAAGCAACCACAAACTAGCAATTGAAACTGGACGATACGTTAAACCCTATCAACCACCAGACCAAAGAATCTGTCCATTATGTAAAACTGGATTAGAAGACGAGGAGCATTTTTTGATGAATTGCATAGCCTATAGGGATCCTAGGAGAGAGCTGTTCAATACGCTAAAAAAGGAAACTAATCTTATTCTTGACTCTATGACTCCAAGCTCTGCCTTTACAACGTTGATAAGTATGAAGCAAGGAGAGAAAACGCAAAAAATTGTGGCTAAATGCGTATATGATCGCTTCCGTGAAAGAGATAGACGCGTTAAATATAACCTTGTTTAATAGTTGTATAAATTTTACAAATGTACACGTCTGTAATTATTGCACGAAAATCTTTGTTATCATTGTAAACACATGTGTCTGTAGGCGCTCTGTTGATAATAAAGCACTTATCCTATCCTACTACCGGCCATCTTCAAGAACGTCAGCATAGCAGCCAAAGAAGCCATTATATCGGTGTAAAACGAATATTAGATTGCGGTTGTTTCATGCGTCTTGTTTTGTGACTTTTTCTGTTTTCGTTTTTGTCACCATCTCTAAATATCAATCATGTTTAAAACACCCCTACTAACAAAATATTTCGTAAAGCTCTTTAGAATGATATTCAGCAATAAAAACAAGGTGTGACCAGGAGCCGATTTCTAGGCTCCTGGTGTGGCAACATAGGCATAAGTGAATGCAAAGTTTTGCAGTATGTAATCTGTCAAAAATCTGTTTGAGTGGTCAAAGTTGGGGCTGATGGGCTTCTTTATCATGACCACTCCATTATTATAAGGGACCAGGCCATAATTATTTTTGACCCTTGCTTTTTTGGTATTTTAGGTAATTTTCCACAGCATTATTTCGTGAAAAGCTGGTAACTGAATTGCTCTTGAGGAATTCATGATCGTAAGATTTCAGTAACCACGGGGTATTCGCCTAATTGCATCAAACACATTACATTCATTTTCATAAATGATGCATCATTGGTTGGCTAAAAGAGGCCTTGTTCCTGTTAATTTCAGCTCTTCTGAAGTTAGTTTGTTTGTAAATTGTAACGCACGCGACGACCTTCCTTTTTTTGAAAGATCGTATAGGCGTACCATTAACACTCTGGTCCAAGGGCTCTGAAGGGAACGAGCCGCTTACAGGTGTATAGGCATGCAGGGACCTCATACACTTCTTTTTAAATGCAACTGTGCAAAAAATAAAGAGTGTTAAAAATTCCTGGAGAGGCATGTTTTACAACCTCGTCCCCAGGGCTTAATAAAAAGGTAGGAAAAGGTAAAGCGACCATATTTTACGTCAATAACTCATGACAGTAATAATAAGTGATAAACTTGAGGTCGACGGTGTGCTCCTTTTACCCCCCTCTCTCCATTAATTCTCCGTTTTAAAGGTATTTAAAGCCAGTCAAAGCTACACAGAAAAAAGAGAAGTTGAAATAAGGAGGTGTTGACACCGAGCTCGAACTCGGGACCTCTCGCCCCGAAGGCTGCGCACTAACCAACTGAGCCACCCTTGCTCCTCCTTTTCCCCCTGAGGAGGAGGTTGACATGTTTTAATCATTATCTCAAGGACAGGGTTACCGACGAAGCAAATTATAATCTAATCTTAGCTGCACAATTACAAAGTGGGCGCGTTGTCAGTTACGGTTCATGAGGTCGTTCATGTGGCATGTCAAACTTTACGATTCTATCGTTTAGGATGTGATACATTTGAGTTTTATGTTATTGTATGACATCTTTGAAAGCTGGCTTTGTGATCCGTTTAAATTGATATGTAATGATATTATCACTGGCAAGTCTTAGCAGTGACACTGATAGCCGCACAGTCCGCACAATGAACATGGCCACACTTACCGTGTGGAGACTGGGCACTAGTCAGTATTATGTACATGTAAAACTATTTTGAATAGTGTAACAACAACTAAACATTACCAAATTAAAAACTTAAAAATTTGCAACAAATGTTTTTTAGCCAAATCTAACAAGAAGAATACTCACCACAGGACACCCAATCTGCTATTATAGGTGAAAGTTAACCCGTGCTTTTATCTGTAATTAGCACCATTTGTAACGGGCACCCCCTCCAGTATTAATCGGTAGGTGCTAAGGAAGCTCTGTGCCAAATTTGACACTTTTGTCACGTCTGTAACGATCCGGCCTATATTTTGCACTAAGAGACCTGACTATAATTCATCAACTTGAAAGAAGTAATACATGTATTAATTTGCTGCATGTTCACCAACCCGTGCGAAAGTTCAGTATTTAACGATAAAATAAGCCTCTTCCATGGGCTTCAGAGAGACGTCGTTTGCTGGAAAATATTGTAATTAATGGACTATACTATTATGGCTGTGGTAAAGAAAGTTACAATTGAAAAAAAATATATTATGACAAGGCAGTGTATGTATAATAATTAAACTCCTTGCTCAAGTGTAGTCATTAATAGCAATTTTTCTTTTTGGAGAAAAAAGAAAAAACACATTATTTTGTTTTCTCATTGTACAGGTCAGACTGACTGTGTTAGCCTTATTAACAACCTTTTGTCCGTGGAAGACTTGGAGTATTATACCAAACCTCAAGGTATTTAACTTACAGGTTGAAGCAAAATTGTAGGAATACATTTTTATATGAATTCATTGGTAACATTTGCAATAACTTTTGCCATAAACTTGCATCTTTCTTATATCATGAGGCTTAACCCATAATTTCGCTCTTGGGAATTTTGCAGAATAACACGTTTTGTGTGTAGTTAGTTGAGCTGTTTTGTAGTCGCACAGTGTGGCTATAAACAGCTAAAACTTACCTAAAAGCCCTTTGCAGCTCCTACGCTTAACGGCCTTAGGTTGAAGATGCAAAATAACACCTTACATGGCTTTTCTGTGTGCGTAAACGAAATTCTTGCGGTATATTTTTTGCTCACATGTGTCCAGAAGTGGCGTAGGCAAAGAGAACGGCCAAAAAAAGTAACAGGTTTATTATATATAGATTTAGCCAGGGCTAAAACCGTAGCTCCAGTTAATAAATTAAAAAATTTAAATCAAACAATAAACTTGGAATCCACAAATCTGTGACCTCTTTGGGAGATCCTGCTTATCAGCCAGCGGCCACAGAGTTTGGACGCGAAAAGTCAGCCTTTTTTTAAAGGCAGGGAAAGCAATTGCTATTAAGTTGTCTCTTGCACCTTACGACAATAAACTTTGTTTTTGTTATATTTGTCTTGAGCCTGCGATCAGTGGAAAACTAGAAACTTGTAAGCAGAAGACTTAAAAAAAACACGTAGGGTCGAAACTTGAGCCCGCGATAAGGTAATGTGATACTGGTCTGCGGATTCCCAGGTTTGGCAGCTGTCAATTGATCATCGCAAGCTAGAAAGAATGCTTCACTTTTCACATACACCCAATTGCAAAAACGTTGTCATAGAAAAATGAAAAAAACGAAAAAGCCAAACAGGAATTAATTCGGCTAACTTAGCCACATTCTCATGGTGGATTCCTTTGCAGCCGTTGTATTTCCCTGCTGGAATTTTCGGTTTTATTTTCTTTCAGCTTTAAAACAATAGCAAATTCCAACAGGCAAATACGGCGTCCATGTGCGGATGCTGCAAATGAATTCATTAGGCTTATTAGCCTGATTAATTCCTATTTGGCCTTTTCCTTTTTTTCATTTTTCTGTGACAACGTTATTGCAATTAGGTGAATAATAGTTCAGTTTCGAAATAAAAATTACCGCTGAATACAAACATTAACGACACATTCATACAGGGTTAACCTCGACATAAATTAAAATATTCAGAAATTCCGGCAAGTAAGTGTTTGAAATTTGAATATAAATAATAGACAGAGTAAGAAACAGGTCTTTTTCTCGTTGGAATTTCTGAATTTATTACTTCAGATGGAGGCTGAGCCTGTAAAAAGTGCGTCTTCACTTCTTTAATTCAGCGGTCATAGCGAACTCGAAAATGGACTATTAGGTGTGCATACGTACATACCGTGAAACCTCTATTAAGTGGACACCTTCGGGACCTTCCCAAGTGTCCGCTTAATATATAGAAGGTGTCCGCTTAATAGAGAATTGCAAAAATTACGCAATGTTTGTTAACGATTAACATTCGACGGTTACTCTGTACTGTGATAAAGTTCCATATTGTTAAGGAAGCTAAGGAAGCTGTGCTGTCACGTGACTCTTTGCAGACTTTTAGGTGAACTTTTGACAGCTAAACGTATTGATTTATCTTTATTAATCGACTATAGTACGTGTTTCAAGGACTTAATCCAATACTACTATTGTTAATTCAGTCCGGTGTCCGCTTAATAGAGGTTTTTAACCCTAGGAATTAGCCAAATACAATTTACTTTACTGTCCGCGTCCGCTTAATAGAGCTGTCCGCTAAATAGGAGTTCGTTATAAAGGAAAATACAAGACGTTATTTTCGGGACCCGGCTTAGTGTCCGCTTAATAGAGGGTGTCCGCTTAATAGAGGTTTCACTGTACATATTTTTGTAACTCCCTAAAAGGGCTTTTCAGTTACAAGACAAACATTGATTGGACCCTTAAGTTCTTTCGGTATATCAAGGTTGGCCATGTTAAATGCTCGCCAGATGCTGACATGGGGTGAACATCTCCGTTTCGGTCGAGAGCAACGTCAGCCGGGATGAATTAAGGTGGCCATACGATTCGCAGAACATGCACTCTTGACTTCAAAAACTGCCTGCACCCGCCACCAGCAGATTTAATTTTGATTCTTCCAGTTGGATATTATTAAAGAAACTGGGTGAAATAGTTGTCGTGGTATGTTTGTGAATTCGCAAACAGCTTGGAGTTATATTATAGATGTACTTCACATTTGACTAATGGAAACTAGGGTTTTTTGATGAACTTTTGTTCTCGAGGACACTTTGTGATAGTATTTGCCATTGTTTCAGGTTTGGAGAAAGGACCCAAGCTGTCAGCTGCCTTGGTTCCTGTGCTGCACAAATTTGCCGTTACACAAAAACTAAGCCCTGTCAAGGTAACCAATGTTCTTTATTGTTCATTCACATTTGTAAAAATATGGCCAAGCATGTGTTTAACAAGTTTACGGTCATGTCGCCCGAAAGTCATTTCGCCTGAAGTAATGTCGCATGTTGGTTACTCCAAGGTCACATGTCATCTAACAACAAAACTGTTTCCCGCCAAATGCCTCTGAGGGGGCAACAATGGCTTGCAAAATCTTTCCTATTGGTTGTGTGTAAGACGCGTTGTTTAATTTTGTCATTTTCCCCCGTATTAATGGCCTTTTAGGTCTTCGATAAACGTCTTAGTCTATTTCTTCTTCTTTGGACATGGTAAATCTTAGGGTCTCTTGACATGAACCCGGTTGGCTGGGTTTCCGAGATCTTCTCGGTTTTTCCAACCGAGATCTCGGTAAGCAGGCCGGAAATTTTGCCATGAGAACACTTCAGCCCGTTTACCGGGGTGAAAGCAGGATAAATTCTGGCAGTCCGGATGGCATCGTCTTGCATTGACTGCTGTATTTTCCACATCATAGGCATCCGACTTAACAGCAGTTATACAGCTTTAAGGGTTGCCGAAGTTATGATAGGCGCGAAAGTTAAATTTTTTTGTGTTTCGGCATATTTACTTGGTTTCTCGAATATGGCACCAGAACTCGTCACCAGGATCTTTGGCCTTTTCTCGTCTCGGCGGAAACCCGGCTGAAATTTCTCATATGAACCCAAGGAAAATTCGTCCCGGTAACCGGGCTCATGTGAATTGGCCCTTGAAACTGTAATTTTTTAGCATCGGTCCACTAATTTTATTTTAATCTTATTATGAAGAGTAACCTAGTAATAATTATAGTAATATGGTGATATATCGTTCGTTCATTTCATTACAGATAGCGATGTATTTACGGGAGAACCAACAGCTTATAGAAAACCACAAGAGTTTGGTGAAAGTAATTGAGCTCTTGGTGGAGTCAAATATTAAGTCATCTGAAATGCACGAAGTACTAGCGATGAAGATGCATTACTTGGCATTTTTGTTAAAAACATGCGCGCGTTGGCACGAGGGAATAGAAGGCAAAGACGGAATTGAAGGCTTCTTAAAATAGTAAGGTTTATTAGTATTATTAGATAATAAAAATAATAGTGTTAGTAATAATAATGATAATGATTAACAATGATTGAATGAGGCTGAGTCGGATGATTCAAATGATGTTTTTGATTCTAGGTTTTAGTTTTTCGATTTTTTCTCTGCACATAATGTTTTAGACTCTCTTTTACTTTGGGGAGTCTTTTATTCTTTTATATAGGGATAACCTCAAGATATCCCCTTTCGAGAGACATTTTGTTATGTATTTTATCTCTTGAATAAAGTATTGTATCGTATTATTTATTAAGATACGAAAGCCGATTTCAGTAATTGTTTTATTTTTCGTTCAAAATAATTCATATTTTGAAAACAAGCTAAAACAATCCATGCTAGCGCTTACCTCCTTAGATGTTACGTTCATCGTCGATAGTGCATGTTTATCGGCAAGTTTTGGAGATAAAGGTTGTTCAGTTCTGCAAATATTTTCCAAATAGCAGATGTCGTCCGTCGAGTTGTCTTCTTACTGTTCTCGCTGTGTTTTTAGCCAATAGTTGGCCTGTTTCTTCTTCGTGAAACGACTGAAACGTTCCGCCATTTTGTATCATTACCAAAACAATTCAAACGTTCTGAATCTATTTTTTTTTTACTTTCTCTCGGCAGTCTAACCAAAGGTCGTCCCTCAGATGGATTTTTTCTTAATGTAGAGGACCTCATACGTCAGGCAATCAGAAGTTTCGATTATCCTGAGTGTACAATTTTTAAACAGTTGGTACAGACGATAGCACCAGTAGAAAAGGTAGGTCGCTGATAGCAAGTTAAGAACTTTACAGTGGGCCAAAACCACCGGCACGTAACCCAGTTCGGTGATATACGTTTCTGATTAAGCTCATAAACAGCCACTCGCGCAGCCCTCTATGAATATACAAGGTAAAGAGAATTGTTGTCTTCTCATCCTTGACATTTCTTTTCATTTCATTTCACTCATTTCGTTGTTTCACAAAGTGCGGCTTTTCTGTTGGTAACCCCAAAAACCTGAACCGTAAAACCACGACTATACACCTGTTAGTTTATCTACCAGATCTCCAGAAATACAAAATTGAAGAAACAGCAGCATTTTTATACCGATCCACAGGGCGCGGGGAGAAAAAGAACAAAATAAACTTGTATTAATAATTGGAATTTTTTGGTTGGATTCTTATCACCAGTTAGTATAAAAGGTGAGACGTGGGATTTTCAATGGTCTAGAACGCTTATGGTACTAATTTTTTCCGTCCCGTTGTTTGACCTCGAAGGTTAAGGCGTTGCCGTTTCCTCCCTCGTCCCCACAGGCATCTTTCACCCTCCCAAGATTTCGATTGCGAATTGAAATCAAGATGGTGGCCCGGCTATCGATCTCTACAACCTTCCCGCACATCAGTATCCATTTCGGTCGTTTCGCCCGAAAGTCGATTCGCCCGACGGCGTTTGCCAGGACATTAGTCGATTCGCCCGATGGCATACAAGACTGTACAACATGGTAAACATACGTTTCGAAATGTTATTTTAGTTACCCTTGGATTCCATATGTACAGTCACTGTCTTCCCATGATGTTTCCTTTTTCCTTTTTGTTTTTTTTTTTATTTTTAAAGAACGATAAATACGCTTCGGGCGAATTGACTTAATCTGGGCGAACTGCTATCCGGCGAACGACCTTCGGGCGAAACGACCTGATACCGCCTTAACCGTATCTATGGCCGAATAATTATATATTTTCTGTAAAAAATTTCCCTGATAAGAGAAAGTGTAAAGCAGTTTGTCATAAGCTCAAGTATGGATTAATATAGGAGTTAAATAATATTTTAATCCACGGTGCTTGTTTAGCCGCGCGTTGCAGTCATTTCTTCAGTTTTCAAGTCCAATTTTCTGATCATTTGGAGCCAAGAAGTAGTGGACGAAAGAATGATTCTTCTTAAATTGACTGTCACACTTAACCCACTTAAAGTTATTGGTTTTATTGTTTTAATATTTGCTTATTCCTATTTAACTTTTTGTGTTTGTCTTAAGGGGCGAGATCCAACCGCACTTTCTGTTATCACTCAGTGTATAAACGGGCTTCGTTGGTAAGTTAAAATTCATCAGTAACTGCATGGGCAAGAAAACAAGAATGGCATCAATGGGTAAAATTTTGGGTAACTCCCATATGAAACAGACGGGGATGCTCGTCGTCTCGCTTAGGGGTGTAAATTTTGGATTTTGGTCTCGCTTAGGAAGAACTTGAGATTTATAACAATGCTTTAAAAGAACTTGAGATTTATGACAATGCTTTAAAAAACTACTTTTAGATAAAAGCATTCGATGATTATGTCTTTATATTATTAAAACTCATTGCCTGTCGTATTTGTGTGTTTTTAAGCGGTCTCTTTTAGGGGTCAAAATTTGCTTAAGCCACGCCTAGATTGGTCTCCTTTAGGGGTCACTAAAAGCTTGAGCCACGCCCCGATGGTCTCCTTTAGGGGTTAAATTCAAAATTTCCGACGAGCATCCCCGTCTGTTTCATATCGGAGTCCCCCCCGGGAAAATAAGGTTAAATGGTGTCACGCCAAAATGAAATGCTGTAAGCGAGTTTCAGCGTGATGCACAGAACACACAAATAAGCAATTCAGCGAAAAGTATTGAAGACGTCAGTAAGGACTACTGTGTATTTCTCCACCACAAACACTGACTTCAATACTAAGCGTAAGCAAAGTTTGACAGTTCTTTTTTTACCAGTATAGAGCTACAAATATCCGACGATCTTCCGATTAGAATACAAATGTATGCTGTGTGCCTCATGTACGCAAGCAAATTGCCCTTTTTTACTGGGACATTTGCTCATTCAGTTCCTTAAACTCGCTTTGGTCCACAAAACGTATACACGCGTCCTTTCCCACGTCTTCCGCCATTTTAATTTGCGAAAGTCGCGAAGCATTGCGTGGGAAGTCACCCATCTGTCAACATTTGTTAAATTGAGGACATATGATTGGCTATCACTCAATCCTCTGGAGAGCTCCAGAAACCAAAAATAACTTTAGAGGGATTACGATTGGTATAGGGCCTGTATGGGAGATTCATTGTCTTAGCCCCTTTATCCTCTCTTGACCCCCATTATGGATTTCTTGTTTTTTACAAAGCATAACTCTTTGCAGGTCTGCAATGGTACCCCAAAACTTAGATTTTATGCAGAAAGCGTATGGTGATTGTTTGTTCCTTTTTATGGCACTCGAAGCAATAAGAAAGTTTCATTAATAGCGTACTCGTCGTTTCTCTTTCCAGTGCGGATTTTAGCGATTGTTGCTGTGTGTGCACTGAGAAAAAGGATGTGAAGAAATGTTCGGCCTGTAAAATGGTAGGTGGTAGAGATATATAAGCCACCCTTGAAAGAATCTTTTGGTTTGGTTTTGTTTCATTTTAGCTGCGTGTTTCTGGTTGTTTCTATGAAACAGTACTTGGCAAGCCCTTTGGCGGGAGTCCCATGTCAGAGGCTAGCTGGACCGCCTAGTCAGTGAATAACCAGCTTGTGTCTTTTCAGGTTGGTTATTGTAGCGTCAGTTGTCAAAAGCTCCACTGGCAAACACACAAGAAGTTTTGCAAGAAGTTGGCGAAAGATTACGAGAAGCAACTTGTCGCTAAGCTTGAGGCTGAAAAACTTCAAGAAATGGATAAAACTGAAAAAGATAAAGCGGTTGAGGTTATTGGTGAAAATAAATGCGTGTTAAATGGAAAAGACGACCAGTCTATGAACTGTCAAAAGACAGCAACTAAAGATGAAGATACAACGACAGCTCAACTTCACGATGATAACAGAGAGATCAAGCATGAGCCCACGGGCACATAATCAAGTGTTGTTGGCATAATAGTTTCTGTCTTATTAATAAGGTGATAATTTATTTCGTTTATCCGCTTATCCGTTACAGCGTATGTAATTATTGCGCCAATGAGCTTGATCTTATTTCCAGTCCCGTTTTAATAACTTCACATATTTCATCTTAAATCCAGCGTTTGCTGCAAACGACAACAATTTATATTAACTATAAGGTTCTTCTTTTTTGAAAAGAAAATCGCATGTGAATAAAGTCATAGTCAAAGACTTCTTGTGACTGCGAATTTTTGTTTCTGTGTTCGTTTGCTTGTTCAGGCCCACTATTTTCTTAGGGTGTTCATTCCTTTTTGTTAATACTCAAGTAATTTGCCCTTGAGTTTATTGCCATAAATACCTCGTAACTGTTATGTTAAGGCGTAATTTTAAATTGGACTTTTTAAACTCTTCGGCCGTGATTTTAAGCAAGTTCTTTAGCAAATCGTCTCTGTAAGTGTGAAGGTACTTAGCAATACAAATTTGGTAGCGTCAAGGCGTATTAATAGATCAAAAGGCTCACTTCCGGTTGACGTGCGTCGATCAAAAACGTCGCTGCTTAACGCCCTCCGTCTCGTGGTTTACAGTTAATGTTGCGCTGAGCTTGTCTTAACCGCTTTGTTTTACCTGTAATGTCCCCGTTATTATTAAGTCTCTCGGGTTTCTCTGGTTTACAACTTGTTTGTTGATCTAGTTGTACCATTTTTCTTATATACATGTAATAGCTCTGAAGGAGGGTTTTACGTTAACACAGGGCTACAGCAATCCCAAAAGTAACAGGTCACGAGACCTAGTGCTACAGGTGTGGCTTCAGTACGTGTATTCAAATCAGGTTAGACCATAGCGGCACGTCGTTAGGACCCTTATTATGTATACATGCTAAGCAGGCACTATGGAACAGTTCGATAGTAAAACCGATCAGCTATCAGCCATCATTGAATTAATGTCCATCGGATATTAAGTTAATACTAGTCAGTACGTGAGGCCAGTCAGTACATAAGTAAACTATCATGGCCGTTGTACAAGCGAAGTACTGGAAGAAAATAATTACTCATTGAAATTGTCTTTGCACATGAGTAAAGTCCGGAGGCAAAGATTGCTTCGTGAATGCAGCAGTGAGCGCATTTTAGTTGCAGATAGAGGTCAGAAATACAAGGCATTGTGACCTAACGTTGTGGAAAAAACTTTTAATCTTAAAAGAAACAGATGAGGAAACATTGCTAAATACCGTAAAATTCCGAAAATAAGCCCCTCCATGTATAAGCCCCCCAAACTCTCCGTTGAATCGCCCCTCCAAATGTAACTCTCCTGGAGGGCTTGTACTTGGAAATTGCCCTCAAATGCAAATTAAAAGAAAGAAAAACGGTAAATTTCGTTCCAAGAATAAAGCTAGCCCAGTCGATTTTAAAACGCAAATTTCCCTCCGTACATAAGCCTCTCAAAAGGGGCCTTTGAAAAATATAGGCCCGGGGCTTATTTTCGGAATTTTACGGTATACCTTTTGGTAAACGATTTGAAGTGCAAAGCGCTACTTTTTACTATGAAAAGATTAATAGACAAAAAGAACAACATTCAGTGGAAAATTTAACTGTATTAGTTGGTAATCTGTTGCTGCAGAACCATTGACTACCGCATTGTACCTCATTTTTTTCCTTCTCTTCTTGCTTCTTCTCGATAACCGTTCCATTCGTCTAAAATATTCGGGTTTTCTCCGAGCTCACTTACAACTTAGATTGTTTTTTGTGAAAATGTCGGTATGAAGAAAAAACGTTCCCTAGACTCTTCGATGAAAATACGGCTGCTTCATACCCTCGAACTTTACAACACCTCCGCCCTCCCACCCCCACCCCTGGTCAGGACCAATAAGAGTAGTTAACGGTTTCGAGTGAGACGAAAAAGTCAACTTTCCAAGGTTCCCCTAAGAAATCCGAAAGGATAAATAGATTTTAGGGACGCTCCCAAAAAAACAAACATAAAGGCTTCTAAAGCATAAAGAAAATCAAATAAGATGCCTCTGACGTAGTTGGAAGTATCCGGTCTTTCGGTGCCCCGGCCGGCGTCTCTAACTACTAGCACACCGCGTCTTTACAGTTTCCATTTTTTAGGAGAAATGGCTATCTTGCTATCCTTCTTCGCGAGATTTTCTTACAGTCCTGGAAGGTTTTTAGGTCATGTCGCTCATTGTTTTTCTTAAATGCTCACTAAACAGGAGCATATTTCTTTGGTTACCCTAAACGTATCGCGGTGCTCTTTGTAGTCGAATAGGAGGGTTAAACTAACGATAGCCAAATCCCTTTTTTGTTCCCTCGATCTTTTGTGTGGCCAAATCACACCTTTATGCTTTTAAATTACTCTATACCTAACTGTTAGAAGTTTTAGAGAATTATGAAATCACAAAATCAGTCCGGATTCACCGAACGAAGTAGCTGACGCTATGGTTTGTCGAAAATGCGAATTTCGAGTCCTCGCATTGGAGCGTAATGGCCACCCTCCCTTTTAGAGAAAAGTGCTAAAAGCGTTTGTTCAGGACATGTGCAAGTGTCCGTTTAGCATGAGCATCATCGGTGTTATCACAGACCCCTTCTTTTCTTCTTCGCCCATTTCTTTCTTGAAAAATCTCTCGTTGATCAAACCGATCATGTTCTCGGCATGATTCTTAGTTGAGATGAGAAGACAAAGCTTTATGTTTTTGAGTTCAAAGCACATCATGCATCATGCTCTCGATTTAATATTTCCCTCATTTCTTGCTGATTGTTTGTGTTTCACTGAATTCTGACTGACTCATTCCCCATTTCATGGCGAAACTCATTTCGACTACCTGAATGATATCCGATGCCAGTCTGATGGTGAGCTAGGGGCAGGTGGTAATAAACTGTCCTCGGTGCTCCTCTCGTTTTGATGTGGTTTTTGTTTCTGTGAGTTAAATGACCCATCCCTTGCCTCCATTTCCTGGTAGAGCTCTCGTCTGGACAAATTGGACCGACAACTCCCATTGCAACCATGCTGTCCTAAATGAGTAGACACTGACAGTTGGTGACTTGGCGATGAGACACTACACAGTAATTTTTAGTTATTATAACTCCAAAAATGGAGTAAAAATTTTAGGTACAGGATAACTTCTTTTTGGGGGTTACTTTAAGTCCTAATTTAATTCCAAATGTGGGGTTATTTTTACCCCTTGGATGGGTTGTTTTTAGTCTTTTTGGAGTTACTTTAACTCTGAAAGTGGAGCAAGAAAGTTTTAGGTACGGGATAACTCCTTTTTTGGGGTTATTTTACTCTCAATATCGGGGGTCATTTTTAATCCTGAAAAGAGTTCTTTAAACTCCGTTTTTGGAGTTAAAATAACTCCACTGTAAGGAGTTAAATTAACCCCACTGGAGGAATTATTATAACTCCTTGAAAATTGTTGTGTAGCTATATTCTTAAAGAACGTCGCCTCCGACTGAGTTGCTCTTTTCTGGGCAATAATTGGCCCATTAACTACTGCTATTTCTTGGCCAATCCGTGGTCACCTACACTGACGATCTCCTCCGCTATACATTTTTGGCAGCTGAGTTGATCGCATTTGCTCATAAACTTGACGATTGTTCATTTTTTGCTGCTGTACAGTTTCCCCGTCCGTATTGGCTACTAACCCTCTAGTCACTCTCTCCCCCGAGTAGCCTCTCTTTGACCAAATTTCGTTACCTTCCACTAGGGACTGCTAGATAGAATGCAAAAATATCATGCCAGTCTGATTCTGATCATAAGCGGAGCTGCTGCTGCTCAGTAGATGTCGCCGATGTGGTACATCCCTATGTAAACTGCCATGACAGAACACTGCTGCTATTTGGCAATGACATAGTCTCTTGGCGAGCATTGCGCCGACATCTCATGCCAGACTACTGGTTCACACCTGAAGACAACAAAAATGGTTGCTGCGGTGTTAGAAGCGGGTCAAAAAATGTGTTCTCGTCCTTCAGCTGCTCCAGATTTTTCCTCGTTTCTGCCACTAGTAGTCCGTCAGCTGCCTAGTGTTTACTCTCAGGCATTTCCTCATCAGTTATAATATTTTGTGGCCTTCTCGTTTTCGGCTGCCTGTATAATGATGAAGTTTCGTTGTTTGCTCTGGCCAATTAAGTGTCTGGCGTGGATGTGTTGTGCTCAGAGTTGGCTATTATACAGCCCGTCCTCTCAGAATCATATGGATAGAAGTCATTTGGCCCTCCTTCGTGGCAAAGGTTTCTACTGTTTGGCGCTACTATTTTAACATGATGATGTCCCAAACGAAGGCCGACTTCAGTAGAAGGCCAGAGTACATCAGCCAAAGATAGCCAGGGAAAGAAACTGCTTGCAAACGGAAACAATGACGAGCTGTGTTGAGACTGACGAGTGCTTGCTGATGCATTTGCCTTACAAGCAGTTTGTCTGACTTGGGTGGATTTTTGAACTTCGGAGTTGGCTGGCAAGGAATGCTTGTCATCTCGTGAGTAGTTATAAAATGATTCCATGCCGCTCACTTTCCAAGTACTTTTTCCCGTCATTTTTCCGATAAACCCAGTCATTTCCCGAAAATAACCACCCTGTTTATTTCCATCATTTTTTTTGTACTTTTTTCTGTCATTAAAAATCGCTCAAGCGAAATAATAATAAATTAAAAGCCTCGAAAAAATGATGGAAATAAACAACTAGGGGCTCGAGGGAATTCGACACAATTATCGGAAAAATGACGGGAAAAAGTACTTGGAAAGTGACCTGCATGGAATCATTTTATAACTACTCTTTATGATTCGAGTCAGAAAAAATAAAATTGAGATTTAAAGAAATAAATATAATAATATAGTAAAATGGGTTTTAAATCTGTTAGACAAAATAACGAAGATTTATATATTGTAAACGGAATAGGTTATTCTTCGAGACATGAATTTACCACCATCGAAAGTATCAATCGAAATCTTAAAATTATAAGACCAGACTCTCCAGTAAGAGACGATGAAGGAGAATTTAATTGTTTTCCTGACCGAGTTGAAGAAAGAATCGAAAGGTTAAACCAGATAAAAGTAGTTGAAATAACCGGATCTTTTGAAGAAGAGTTTCCTTTTATAATTGATTTTTTTGATGAAGCAAACAGTTTACTCGACAATAATAACAATCATTTTGAACAGAGATTTATTTGTCTCTTGAAGAGAATGAAAGAAAAAGGATTCTGAGGCAGAAAAATAAAATTGATTTTTTCTAAAAAGCTTTACACGCGATCGTATGGAGTTCAAGGTTATTCCCAGTTTTGCGAAGTCATACAAAAAGGAATATGCATTTCTTTTTGGTATTGATAGTTTATTTGGTGAAATTGTAAAACTTATAAGTTATGAATATAAAACTCAAAAACACTGGTCTTATAAAGCGAGCAAATTAGCAACAAGGATAGAGACACTAATAAAAGAATATGAACAAGGAAATGGCAATCTTCAAAATTTAAATGGCAAGGATGTAAAAGAAGATGTTTGCCATAATTTATATAAAGTGAGTGATTATATTGCAGGTCATCTTGGTGGTTTTGAATATAGTTTAGATGATATTTTATATTCGATAATGGGTAGCTTAAAACTGTCGAATAAAAAACCTAATGGTATTCTAAGAAAATCTTTGTTATTTATAAGATTACAAAGAGTTATAAACTATTATAAACGTGTATTTAAATATAAGATAATTGAAGATGATTTGAGTGATGATGAATTTGATTATAACAGTTATGTAAGTTTAGTTAGTTATGATACTGAATCGTGTGACGATGAACAGGAGGATTAACAAGTGATTAAATTTTATAATATAACAATATTATAAAATATGGAATCACATAATCTACTAGAAGGAAATGACTTTATCAAACTCCAACAAAAAGCAAAAGAACTGGGCGCCAAATATCTTGAGTATTCTAAACGAAAAAACTCAAAATATGTAGTTACTCTTTCCAGTGGAAAGAAGATACATTTTGGTTCCCCCCTTTATTAAGACTTTCTCATCCATCGAAACACAGACCCACGAAAAAACTATCTCAAAAGAGCGACAAAGATACGAAACAAAAAAGGAGAGTTTACCCATACCAATCCAGAATCACCTAACTTTTGGGCTGTAAATCTTCTTTGGTAAAAAAGACTTAAAGATTTTATTTATCTAATAAAATGCAACTAACTAGTATCCAAAGTTTATCTCCAGAAGATTAATATTTAACGAAGCAAAAGAGTATAATGTCAAAGATTCGAAAATTAAATACAAACGTATTCCTATCGAAACAGTGTACCCTGATGGAAAGAAAGGACCACTAGTTACTGAAACTCCGTTTCTTTTTTCTTTTGGGGTAAATGAAAAGAAAGACCAAAATACAAACAAGTTAGTAGGTTATAGCATTCCAGTTTGCTTATGGGAAAAAGATTCCAGCCCAAATTTGAAGGAAGAACAATTTTATAGATTTTTATGCAAACTTACAGAAATTTGTCAAAAATATTTAGAAGAAGAATATGGGCCTGATCTTGCTTCTTCTTTATCTGAACCATTATACTATAAACAGATTGAATATACAGACAAAAAAGGCAAAAAGAAAACAAAGAGAGACACCTCAGCTGCACCAGTTCTTTATGCAAAACTTGTTTACTCGGGCAAACTAAAAAAAATTCTTTCACTTTTTCATGTGAAAGGAAAGAAAAAAGTTAATCCTTTTAATTATCTTAACCAGTATTGTAATGTCAAAATGGCTTTGATTATTGAAGGAATATTTATTAGCAAAACTGTTACATCATTACAAATTAAAGTACACGAGTGTTATATTAAAGAATTAAAACCAAGAGAGTCTTTGTTAACAATTGAAGAGGAAAGCGAAGCGGATGAAGTAAGTGATAGCGAAGCGAGCGAAGCAAGTGATACTGAGGAGAATATTGAAGATAAAGAAGTAACTGAGTAATATTAGGATTTATTTTTAATACAAATTTTGTATTAAAAATTAACCAAATCCTTAGAACTTACCCATGAGTTAAATTTATCAGGATAACCACTCCATTTTACTAATGCCATTTTTTTCTTATTATCTCGTTTGATAATCTTTTCTATTCTAAATGTCTTCTGTTTTGCTTTCTGTAATTCTTGTTCGTAAAAAGTACCCTTAATCTCTTCTCCCATCAGATCGACAATACTATACGTAACAGGTTTTGTTGGGTTAACTTTATTAATTACAAATAACTCCTCTGTCCAGTTTGGTGTGTAACCTTTATCAAACACCTTTCTCTTATACTTAGAAATTCTAACTTTGTCTCCAATAGAAAACTTTGGTTGACCGGGTTTCATGTAAATAGAATCACCGTACAAATTAGCCCAAACTTTATTCTCATTTTTCTTTTTACTCGCTTCAACAGGAGTCATTTTAATGCTAGAATGTCCCGCATTATTGTAATTATCAACTAGTTTATTAATCTTATCCCAGTAAACAGTGTTGTTATTACATTCTGTTTTTCATTGTTTTATTCCATCTCTCAACAACACTAGATTTTTCTTTGTTTTCAGTGTGATACAGCGCGATTTCCTCTCTTTTCAGAAAATCTTTGAAATGTTTACTGATAAACTCAGAACCTTTATCAGTCCAAAGCATCTTTGGTTTACGTTTACTTTTGAATATATCATCGAATGCTTTACCGAAAGTTTCAGTTTTCTTGTCTTTTAATCCCCTAATCCATCCATACTTGCTAAACACATCTATCACCATTAAAAGATATTTAATGCCTTTGTTCCACTTACTAAACTTTTGCATTTCTACCAAATCAGCAGCCCAGATTTCATCAATTCCGTTTGACACCACTGATCTCGTTTGAAAGTTTCTTTTGATTGGTTTGTGAAGTTCATCGGCTAATTGTTGAGACCAATCACTACTCAACGCCGCTTTACGTTTTTTGAATTTTTTACATTAGCAGGGGCTCCCATACCAAGTTTTTGTTTTGTATTTATCATAGTTCTAGCAAGAGCATTCCCCCATTGTCTTTCTTTCCAAGGAATTGCATCTAATGATTTCACCATCTTTCTGTCAGCTTTATTTTTACTCTTTCGATCATCACCACAAACACTATAATCAACATCATGTTGCATGGCTAGAGCATCAGTTGACCCAGTTGGTTGATCATAAATTTCTAATATTTCACCAGTTTCTGGATTGTATCTTACTTGATTTTCGAGATCATTATAAGGCCCTGTGTATTTATGTCCTGGCAAGGTCCATCCCGCTTTTGGTTTTGGTAGTTTTCCAATCATTTTGTGAATGTCAACTCCTGAACCATATTTTTTTTAATCTCTGCTATAGATTTGTATATTTTGTTGGTTCCTAAACCACCATTGAAAAAATCTTTTACATGAGCATATCCAATTTGTTTGCCATTTTGCTTAAGAACCATTATGGGATTTCCTTCTTTAAAATAAAATTTTTTACCATGACTACGAAACACAGTTGTATCACCTGTCCAGAAATTGGAAGTAAATATTCCATCTTCTGAATTAACAACACCTTTGGCAATATCACCAGCCCAATAATCTTTGAATACTTGCTTTGTTTGAGGAAACAAGGTTTCTGATATTTTTTTACCTATATTTATTCCTGTTTTTATTGGACCAATAGCATCAAAAACACCTTTGCCCGCTCTTTCAGACGGGCTTATTAGTTTTTTGACCTCCTTTTTTCACTTCCAGTTTGAGAAACTGAACCTGTTTTTACATATCTGACTTTTTTATTTCCACAAACAGCGCATTTACAAAAAAACTGAGTTCTACCACGCTTATCTTGTTGGTAACCACTTGGCTCTGTACAAGGAGTTACTCTTTTATCTACAATGCAATATGATTCTTTCATTTAGTATAATGATTATATAAAATGGAGGCCAAATTCTTTTTAGAAATAGAAAAAAAGATGAAAGTAAAAACACTAAAAGATTTTGAAAAAGAAGTGCGTAATAAGATAATAAACGAGTTTGAATCTTTACGTAAAAAAAATGATGATCTTTCTAGAGTATTAATAGTTGGTGAGTGTGAGCTTTGGGAAAGTATTAAAAATGGAAATTATTCCTGGCTTAAAATACCAAAAGATAAAAAGAAAAAGCTTTTTAGACTTATTGATATTTACTCGAACTTTAGTAATATAGTTGATAATGTTAAAGAATTAAACAAAAAAGTTGATGAGGTTACAAAGCTAAAAGATCTTCCAGATGATGACGACAGTTCTCCAATGGATGAAGAGTAAGCAGCTGGTTTATTTTCAATACAAATTTTGTATTAAAAATTTATACAGAACTCTACTCCGCACCAAAATAATTTTTTATAAAATCACTGTTGTCATCATCAAAATGGGGGTTATGTAATACATCCAAAATACTTTTACCTCTCTGTCTTTCAAGTAAATAATATAAACACCAGTAACCACACAATACAGTACTGCGATTTTGTATTTCATCCATTGAGTAAACTATACGTTTTCCAGAAGTACGAAAATACTCTAATGCTTCATTTGGCATTATCAAACCAAATGGATCGAAGTACTCAACTAAATTGTCTATATTTCTGTAACAAACCCAATGTGTTCCAGGGCCAGTCATGTCATCGAGATTGATTATTCCACATTCTTTTCTAATAGCATGTGGTAGACCATCACGACTGTAAATTCCTCTAAAATGTTTAATATTAAGTTTTTTTATCCAATCCATGAGGTTAAAGTTGGACAGCGGTTTAATTACAAAATGTTTCCTATTATGGGAATTGAGTTGAATGGGCTGTTTTTTCCAAGAAGAAGACCTTTTCCTTTGGACTTTTTTTTTTTTAACCCCCATTCCAATTGGGTTTTCCCATGTACCAATAAAGGGTGGTGAGCGATAAGGATAACCTTCACCACGTGTTGGTGGTGGAGGAGGATGTGGAATGTAAACATTTGCTGTATTAGATGATCCATGTCTATCAACCTGAAGTCCCCCACCAAACATCTTCGATACTAAACTAATTGCCATTGGAATTCCAATAGATGCAAGAGTTCCAAGAAATCCCCCTTCTATCTGGTTACGAGTTGGTTTTATAATTAATCGACCACCTGTTTTATGAGCTTTGTTAATTTGGTTTATTTGTGATTTGGTAAATTCTCTTGCAAGAGGCGGCAATAATGGGAAAAACTGGGGGGGAAATGTAATTCCTTTTCCAAATATTTTATTTATTCCAAGTTCACCTAAAGCAGTCGCAGCACCAGTTGCTAATGCAGGAACAGCTTTTGAAATTCCTTTTATTGCATATGGAAGTACTCTTGCTCCAAGAGATGTGAGTGATGAAAATAAACTTCCACCATGTTTTACTGAATGTCTAATCTGAGTTTTACTTATCTTTATGTCTGATCCTGTGCCATCTCTCAGTGATTTTCCTATTTTATTAATTTGCCTTCGGGTTAGCATTAACTCATCAGAACCTCGAAGATGAGAATGTTTTAATCGAAGAGTTAGTGGTGATTTATTTAATATTGCAGAAGCCAGTTTTGACTTTTGCCCATCTGTAAGTGTTACTCCATATTCAAAGTAAGTAGCCATTTTTTTATTTAATTGGTTATATTAAATTTGCTTTAGGAAATTCAATTACATCCCATATACTTTTCTTCTTAGGTTTAGGTTCATTATATTTTTTTAGTGTATTTTTAATAAAATTATCAAAAATAATTTTACCTTGTTTAGGTTTCAAAGACTTTGCTTTCTTAGCATTTTCTGTTTTTAAAGCTTCAAGTTGGTTTTGTAGCTTTAATTTCTTTAATTTTTTTGCTTTCGTAGCATTTTCTGTTTTTAAAGCCTCAAGTTGGTTTTGTAGCTTTAATTTCTTTAATTTTTTTGCTTTCTTAGCATTTTCTGCTTTTAAAATCTCAAGTTGATCTTTAGCTCGTTGCTTTATCAAAGAACGATTTAATCTAGTAACATAAGGCAAAGTTTTTTTTAAACTGAGTTTTACTGAATTTGAAATCAACTTTTCTTTTGAGTTTTTTTGCAACTTCTACTTTTTTAATTTGGGTATTTGTAAGAAAAACTCTAAAAGGTTCTTTATTAGAAGTGAAGTCTAAAGTTATAATATTGTATTCTCCAAATTCTTTTATTTGTGATGGAGTTAAGTTTATAACATATTCAAAGTATTTATTTTCTTTTAAAAAAGGATATTTTTCTAAAGTTACTGGTGGATATATATCAAAAGGATTTACCATTTTTATTATATTTTTATATTAAATTATATGCAGTGTAGCTAAGGGAGGGGTTATAGGGGAACCGCAGGTTTTCTTATGCTCGAAGCAATAGTTTTCCATCTTGTTGTGATATTTCTGCTATTCTTTCATGTAAGACTAATGCGTAAATATTATAATCAGCGTTTGGATTAGCAGACAACTCGTAATGAAATGCTAGTTTTGTAACACCATCTTTGATATCCATTTTTTTTTGTCAGGTCAAAATAAACAAAAGGAAATAAAGTTTCAAAATTACTTCTATTAAGTAATGTTCCACCTTGATAATCATTATTTGCATAAATGTATGACATTACATTTCTAAAAACTCTTGACATATCTGTACAAGGTTTAAAGTGAATATCTGGATATTCGTTTCCATTTGCAACTTCCAAGTAACATCTTGATATATTAGCATTATTTGGTAGATTAAAAGTGTCGTATAAAAATGGATTCGCCGTTTGAGAATCAATTCTTGCCGTATCAATTCCAAAAACAAATACATGACGTGGTTTTGAAATAGCATTTGTAATTCTAAAATGTCCTGTCTGATTTTGTGTATTATTTGACCTTTCAACTACTTCATTTAAATATATCCATTTGTAAGGTTTAAGATAATTTTCCATGTACAACTTTTGTCCTTCTGAATTAAAAGTAAGTTTTGGAATAAAAAGTTGTAGTCTTGTCATAATAAC